CGCCGACGACTCCTCCGAAGCCGGCACGATCGCAGCGAACGCCAGACAAGTCGTGGCAATTGGCTACCTCATCGCCGAAACCGACTTCCTCGCCGTTACCGTCGTTTGCCTCCCTTGCAATGGCTACCGTGCATCAGAAACTTACTGTGGCCTCCGTCTCACAGTCATTCCAAACGCCTCTAAACAAAATGCGCGGCATTTTCAGCAAGTATCGCGAGGTTAGCCAGGACACCAGTCCGATGCCAGTGTCGCCGGGCTATGCCCACAACCGGTCGCTGTCTTTAGAAGAGAGCGACTGATCATTTGAATATGCGTAAAATACTTAAAACAGGATCCGAGCAGTTGCATGACGAACTGCCCATTATTATTATTATTTTAATTAATCTTGTTTGTTGCCTGCCTTTAGAGAGACACATTATTATAAAAAATCAATAAAATGTTAAGTGAAACATCAATTATATTTACTAAGTATAAGTGCTCTCCTTTATTTCATGTTTTGTTAGTTCAAAATTATGTAGTTCCGTAGCTCTTAAGGCAGGCAATGCTCAAGCTGCATAATATATATATATTTTTTTTATGTAATTTCTTAAAACAAAGTGAAGTAATACAGTTTTTTATATTGTGTGTGAATAAAACGAAATATTTAATTCATAAATGTGTAACTATTTAAAGGCTGGGGCTCAATATTGTGTTCTTTTTTTAGAGCAACTGCAACTGGCAAAATCTCTTGAATAGAATTATCAGAAATATGTGTCCCTAGTACCATAGGACATCAAGTTGTAGTTTTTACTAAAAACTCGATTGATTATATTTTATTGAAATGCGAATTGGTCTTTCTCTTAATATTTCATGTGATACTGTTGATGATGACTCTATTGTTATTTATTAGTAGTATCTGTCGATAATGCGAATGAAATACTGCGTACTACACAAATCGACAATCAAGTATTTTTGTTTTATACATCAATGGCTCGAGTACATTTTCATAGATCTGTCTAAAATACTTTTCTACTCTCTGAACTTTTATAGATGTAACGTATTTTCCCCAGTACCGGTTTGTTCTTCATAAAATTGCTACTAGTTTAGCTGGTGAATATGTTTGGTGGTAGAACCAGGTGCCTATTCTTGGCGAAAAATTGTTTGTGCTCTCACCGCAGCCCGATAAGATGCCATCTCCAATTGGTAAGATCAGCTGCAGTACCCGATGTGAATACAATAAAGGCTGACTCTTACAGCAGCGCAACTTTAGGGTGGCCGTTATTGGTGCCTCCGGCGGCATTGGGCAGCCGCTGTCGCTGCTGATGATGAAAGACCACCGGATCAAGGACCTCAGGCTGCACGACGTCCAGGGCGTGAAGGGTGTGGCCGCCGACCTGTCACACGTGTCCGCGCCGGCCTCTGTGCGGGGCATGCAGGGACCCGAGGAGATCGAGAAGGCAGTGGAGTGCTGCGACGTGGTAGTGATTACGGCCGGCCTGGCCCGCAAGCCAGGCATGACCCGCGAACAGCTATTCGAGGTGAATGGAAACATAGTCATGGCTACGGTGACTGCGATCGCCAAAAGGTCACCCGAAGCCATGGTCGTGATCGTCACGAACCCCGTCAATGCAATAGTCCCGATGGCCGCCGAGGTTCTCAGACAGCATAAGGTCTACGATCCGAAGCGCTTGTTCGGTGTCACCACACTGGATTGCGTGCGCGCCGAGAGATTCATTGGCGACTATCTGAAGATCAGTCCCACCAAGGTGAAGATACCAGTCATTGGTGGACATGCCGGTACCACGATTTTACCCATTATGTCGCAGTGCCAGCCTCCTTTGAACGCCAGCAAGGAGTGCCTTGAGTCGATGATCAAGCGCATCCAGAACGGTGGCGAGGAGATCATCAAGGCCAAGGAAGGCAAAGGATCTGCCACCCTGTCCATGGCCTTCGCCGCGCATCGCTTCGTCGACGTTTTGCTCAAGGGCCTCAAGGGTGAGAAAACGCCCTTAGAGTGCGCCTACGTTGAGTCGAACGTGACCGAGGCCTGCTTCTTCGCAACGCCTCTCAGCTTCAACAAGAACGGCATCGCCAAGAACCACGGGCTGCCCTGCCTCGACAAGTCCGAAAAGGAGGCCCTCAAGTCGGCTGTGAAGCAGCTCCAGCAGTCGATAGAGCTGGGCATTAATCACGTGAAGAGTAAAAAGTAAACTCAATTTTAAATAGATATACATTATAACTTCGCTCATTTCAAACTGATTTTCCATTTATATGTGGCTATATATGTGCGTGTGTGTGTATGTGTGTGTGTGTGTGTGTGTGTGTTTGGAGTCTATCTATGTGGAGTGGTTGGGTGGCTCTGACCAAGGCTCTGGCTTGGCGGCAGCTGTTGCGACTAAAAGCGAAATTACAGCAACAAATTGCTGGCGGAAAGCGTGGCAAGCACAGCACACACACAAACACACATACACACGAAATCATAAAAGCAATTACCATTAATCACACACACACAAAGGCATAGCAGCGCACTCACGCACACACACACATACACGCACAGTGTCTTCTCTGGCAGATCGTCTGGCAAATTCACAACGAGAGAATTGGGCTTGCGAGCTTCGTGTTCTTGATCTTGCTGCTTCACTTAATACTCACACACACACACATATATATATGTATGTACGCACTGTCCGAACCTACAACGAGTTTCAGTTGGCCGGTTCAGCTCTGTGACTGCGCGCTGCGAATAAGGAGAACAAAAAAGAAAAGAAAACAAAAACTAAAAGGCCCAGGATTCGGTTTCAGTTCAGCGCGGACTTCTTATTGGATTTCTTATTTATAAGCGTGCAGATGGCGGTGGCGTTGATTTTTGTCAACCGGCGCGGCATTGGAGCCAACAAATTGTTGCAATTGCCCCTACCTGTGCCCCATTTCCCTTCGTCGGCTAACTTTGCCAGGCCTTCACATTTTTTTCTCGCTTTTTCCGCTCGGTTCTCGTTTTGCGGCCAGCTTCTCGCAACGGTTTGACAAATGATCGCTGATAAGAAAAAGTCCGCTCATTGAATAAAAAAAGGACAACATAAATTGCAGGCGAACAAATTTATTAGCGGATGACCGAAGATGTGATACACTCGCATGGATTGATTTTTTATCATACTAACTATAGCCTCATGGGAACTATTTGTTATGACTAATTCAATACACTGAACGGTCAAGATGACTCATAAATATTTACGGCATCTATGCAGGTCGATTGATCATAAAGTTCTTGTACACATCTATCTATTGCATGTAGATTGACTAAGAAGCTCTCTCATAGAGTTTACAAATTACACTCATTTACGATTGCGAAAGATTATCTTATTTATCAGATTTGGCTATACATCATTTCACATAAATACTTAGAGCTCCTATTATCTTAGTATATTTAGAACTTTATTAATCATATAAACTTTTAACTTAGATGAAATAGAAATATCGAAGATATCGACACCCTCTGGGGTAAAAATTTATAGTTCTGAATTTGACATTTATTATTTGGTTAAGATTGAAGACATATTAAATTGTATATATCTAGATTCTACAATGATTTGGAGCTGACTTTGTTCAGTACTTTGCAGTCCGTTACCTCCGTCGCCTACGCTCTTTCATATTAGCGAATTGGCACTTTAGCATCTTTAGGAGTGCTCCATATATCTGTGTTGTAGAAGGTTCACAATGCCAACCTGGGTAAATACTCCATCAAAACTTATCTGGGAAATCATATTCTCTTCCATTTATTTTAAATATATGTATATGTATCTACATTCTGAAGCACACTAGGCATCTTTATCTTTTTTAGCGAAATACGTTACAAATTGGTTAGCAAAACGTTAAGGCTCTTCCTCAGAGTAGATCGATATGCATGTCTTGAGGCATTCGCCTAAGTGGGTCGCGTAATTGCAGGCGGTTAGCTGTAGTTGGGGCCACTCCACAGTGCTAATCCTTGCGAGAGTGTCCTAGTGCAGCAGCACCTGTAATAGAGATCGGGAAATTGCAAATTGCAAATTAGCGATTAATTGGATGGGGCTGCACTGCTGGGAGCCGATTGTGCGAACGAATGCCGAACGAGAGCTGAGCGGGAGACGAGGAGAGCTGGTCTCTGGCGCCGAATTGAAACTCTAGATGACAGAGGACTGCAAATGCGGAGGTCCTCACAGGCTGCAGGCACCGCTGCACTTATCTGGCGAACGGAATCAGGGTCATCTCGTGATCGCCAGCCCTTTTGTTCGAGGCTCAGTGCTCCTTTTGGCTCTCGTCTGTCTGTGATGCTGCGCTGAAACTTGAAACCACTTCATTTGTGCTTTGAGCCGGAGCTCTGGCTCTTTAGCTGTAGCTGTAGCTGTAGCTGTAGCTGTAGCTGTAGCTGTAGCCACTTGGCCAGACAAACAAAGCGCCGTCCGCTCCATGGCCGTGTCAGGAGTTCACACAAAACTTGTGAACTTCTTGGCTCGGTTTGTGTGTGAGTGGGTTAGTTAGTTCTTGAAGCTTGTTGTTGTTTGCTTTTTGGTTTCGGCGCCGCCGGAAATCGCGCAGACTACGGACCAATTAGACCGGCAGCAGCTGCCGACCGACCCACTCTAATAACAGCCCGAGCACTTGGGACGATCGTGGCTGGCGCCATTTTGAAGGAGCGCGGGCAGTTACGCCCCTTCCGCACTGCCACGCACCCCTATGCCGTGACTTGATGCGACTAGGTCAGGCCAGGCTAGAATCGACCAGGACACACCAGAAGGGGCGGCAGGACAGCAGGACATTACCGTAAACGTTAATGAGGTATCAAGATAAGCAAATGCTACATACGTTCGCGTTTAATCAATGCCTTTTGGGGTCAATCAAAGTCAGCGCACTAATGCATAAACAATGAAAGGCTTTTAGTGCGACAATAGCTCAAAATGACCACAACAGACGGTCGGCTGTACTCAAAAGCGACTGCGCTGGAGCTCAGTTGATTAGTTGCAAAGGTAGCGCGGCACGCTGCAGGGTTCGGCTCCTGAGCTATGTTCCTGAAACGAAAATGCCGTATGAGAAAACGGATCATACGGCTGTGATGACAACGCGGCAACGGCTGATTGAGACCTTGGTCATCTTTCGTCGCAGTCTTATTTACCAGACGAAGGAGTTTTTCCAGAACTCCACCCTGCACGGCGTGCGTTACATTGCAGAGACGGGTCGGCCCATTGGCGAGAAGTTCATGTGGTTCTGCTTCACCTCGATTGGTGCAGTCACCGCCCTGGTCATTATCATGAGCCTGTGGGAGAAGTTCCAAACGAATCCCACCATCACCGGCCTCGACACGGACTTTCACAATCAGAACGTTGTCTTTCCCACCACGGTGGTCTGTCCAGAGATGGCCTTCGATCATGCAAAAGCATATGAAGAGGTCTACAAGTCTCTGGCGTAAGTTAATAAACGTCCTAGCGGACTACGACTAGGCATTAACTCTCCTCTTTTTTCAGAAACTATGACGCGGATAAGGCTCACCAGATTACCCCTTTTTTGGACCAGCTTACCTCGCTCAACTTTGACAACATCGGAGAGGCCGAAAAGCTAGCAGAGGGCATACCCCCGGAGCAGCTGGCGGAGCACACCTTGCGCGAATGGGCCTTTCGGGCGCAAATCCCGTGCGAGAGTACGCTGATTTCCTGCAAGTATCGGGATGAGGATATCGTCTGCTGCGATCACTTTCACCCCATCTACACGGAGCACGGCTTCTGCTATGCCTTCAACAGTCGCTTCATGTCAACTGCAACAGAGGAGTAAGTCCCCCACATCAATTATGCCTTAGTCAGTAGACATTCAATCGGTATTTCAGCTCTAAGACTGGCCCGCCGCACGACCTCTATGAAACGGACAAGAAGTGGGCCCTCTTCTTTCTGCCCAATAGTACCTCTCGGGTGAGTTCGCTCCCTGTGTGGATCTGACGGTTGGGCTAGTATTGACTCTTATTGCCTCGCAGATATTTATTTTCTCGAACGAGGAGTACTTCGGATCGGACTTCAATGCCCAAATCGACTGGACCGACGATCAGCTGGTGGAAGTGCGCATCTCCAAGAAGAACACCTACACCACAGACGATGCACGCCAGCTGTCAATTGGCCAGCGTAAGTGCATCTTTCGCGACGAGGTGAAGCTGAACTACTTTCCAGACTCGTACACCTTCTCGTCCTGCATGAAGCAGTGCCGCATGACCAAGGCCATAAAGCTGTGCAAATGCAATCCGTCCTTCTACAAGCCCATCAGTAAGTCACACCGTCTCTAATGGAGTCAGATTTATTGGACGTGGCTTCCTTTTTCCGTTAGACAATGTGCCCATGTGTACGGTCAAGGACTTCTCCTGCCTCAATGAATATAAGCTGAACATAACCAACATCAAGGACTGCCTGCAGTGCGAGCTGAGCTGCTCCAAGACGGTTTTCAACATAGACAAGCTCATGAAATTGTAAAGTCTGAATTGAATGAATTTGCTTCCTTTTGATATTTACCTTACTTTTACCTCCCCTACTCCAATCCCAAAAGCATGGATCGCGCCGAAGCGTCCGGCGTACTGGTAGAGTTCCTCACCTGGCCCATCATTCGGTACAAGCGTGAGGTGCTCTTCGGCTGGGTGGATCTGCTGGTCTCGTTCGGCGGCATTGCCAGCTTGTTCCTGGGCTTCTCGCTGCTCTCCGGCGTAGAGATCATCTACTACTTTACGCTGCGCGCCTGCTGCATGGTCTACAAGAACAGGGTAGGCTACTGTCCGACTCTGCGTAATATCTATTTACGTTTACCGTTCCCAATATGCAGCAAGAGCTGTACGAAATCGAGCAGCGCATCCGGCACGAGCCGCCGCCGGCCATTGATCTAAAGCTGAAGCTGAAGTCTCACTCCAAGCCGACGAATAGCCCCAACAGCTCGGCCGTGCTGCAAGTGCAACCGGCGGATGCACAAAGCGCGGATCTGTACAACATGTCCCGCCAGCGGAAGAACGAAAAGGTGAGTCTAGGTGAGATAGGTCCCCTCCATAAGCTATAGCTATGGGTGATTGTCTTCTAGGACTACTTGAACTACTCGAAGAGCTTGTATCGCACGCCCAAGGTGCTGCCGGACCACGGCTACGCCAGTAGTAAGGAAAAGTGGCAATTCGACCATGGACAATATCTGCCCTGAAACCCCAACCAACTCCCTCAAGACGGCTCCACGACAACATGTACCCCACACAAATGATAAGGACAATGTGAACTTCGAGCAAACGATATTACGATATCCAAAAATCTATACAAAAATACAATATATATATATATATATATATATTTTTTTTTTTTGACAAATTATTATGTCAGACTAGCGTATTATGCACTGCTTTGATAAAATCCAAAAATACCAATTTACAAGCCGCTACATTTAATGGACATATATCTTATTGGATTACATATACTTACATGCACCATCAAAGAATAAATAATAAACCATTTTTTTCCAAAGAAATACTTACGGCCGTATATGCTTTCCCAATTAAAGGAGTTTCGCAGAGCATGTTTAGTTGGCGGCAAGTTCAGTGCACTATGCCCCCACGGAACGGTAGGAAGAGAGAGGAGGAGGGGGGTTGGCAGCATGAACAGTTACTAACCACCACCAGCAGCGCCGGCTGCCCCTCCGAAAGGCAACCCCAAAAGCCAAACACAAATGCTAACCCAACTTCCCGTCATCAGGCGAAGTGAAAAGCATTTTTCAGTTAACATCGCTGCTGGCTCATTGTACGCAAGCCCCGGCAAACGCCGCCATCTGCCGGCCCAAGCACGGAGCAACCCCTTTACTTCAGGCGCCAACAGGTGGAGGGGCGGCGGGCGGCGGGTTCAGTTGTAGTTGTAATTGCAGTTGTAAGTCGCGTAGTAGTACTCACTGTACTGTACGACCTCGCCGAGCCTGCCATTCAGGCCTACTCCACTTCCACGGCTTTCCACACCCGACCCCGCCCACTGGCGGCTGTCGCATTCGCATGCCTGGAAATGAATGAAAGCCAAAGTCGCCGCATAGTTTATTTGTTAATATGCGCATGAATGGCGGCTTATTTTCCGAGTGCCGCGTGCTTCGCTATGGTTGAAGGCAGCCGGCGCCGCGGCCAGACCGCGGCGACCGTTTAGCTGGCCCAGGAGCTGATCTCTCAACTCGACACCGAGTCGAAAAAAGAAGAGCCAAACTAAAACAAATAAGCCCAAATTTAAAGTTAAGCGCATTGACAGTGCAAACAAACAAAAACCAATGGAGCGATTGCGCCTGCCAGCGACGACAATGCACCGATGTTAACGGGAGGGGGCGGCGGCCTGTCAACAGCGTGCACACGACCCCGGCCCCCTCCCAAGCAGGCGCACGCCCACACAGAGACACAGCACGCCGACAGTGGCGCAGCAGGTCGGCGGGTCGGAGGAGCATTGGCACACGCATGCATAAATAAATTTAGCAAAGTTAATTGAAATAATTACGTTTGGTTCTGGTCTGAGTTCGGTTCGGTTTGTTGTTTCGAGTTCCGTGTCTGTGGCTGAGCACAACAAATAAAAATAAAAGCGAGCTGGATTATGGCTATGGGGTATGGCCGACTATCAGACACCCGTTCTGCCCTCAGTAGATAGTTAATATACTATTTAAAAATGTGTTTGACGATCATCTCTTTATTCCTCCAATTATTCCACTACTAGTTAAGGACCATAAAAGTGCTTCATAGGTATACCTTATACCTTATACCTTATACCTTATACCTTATACCTTATACCTTATACC